GGATTTCAGTAAGCGGAGAGGATGGGTGAAGGCCTTACAAGACAGTGAGGAGTTAAGAAAGATGATTGAAGATGATTTATATGGGAGATAAGAATCATCGGAAGAGAAACCAGATAGTGGACCTACTTGAATGCCTGGATTTTATCATGAAGCCTTGGGATAAGGGAAAGACCAAGAGCATGGCAGCCAATGTCACTTTCCTGAAGCTAAACCTACTGGTTCTCCTCTCCCCACCCCTAGGTGGTATGTAAGAAGTACCGAGGATTCTCCATTCCGGATGTGTTTCGGGGAGTGCATAGGTACCTGCGCAATGCCTATGCTCGGGAAGAGTTTGCCTCCACCTGTCCAGATGATGAGGAGATCGAGCTGGCCTATGAGCAAGTGGCCAAGGCCCTCAAATAAGCCCCTCCTGGAGCTCCCTCGCCCCCCTCCATTTTCTCCACAAAGGCCCTGGGTGGTTTCCACATGGTTACCCAATGGACACACTCCAAAATGGCCAGTGGGCATAGAATCCTGGAGCACCTGTGCAGGGCTTGCTGGGGGGGATGAGGAGAAAGGAGGGGGGATCTGGGTGAGATTTTTACTATGGGGTGGGTAGGACAACGTATTTCAGTAATAAAGTACAGAATGAAAATCTAGTGCTTTGGGACTTCCCTGGTGGTACAGTGGTTAAGAATCCACCTGGCAATGCAGGGAACATGGGTTCGAGCCTTGGTCCGGGAAAATCCCACATGCCACGGAGCAGCTAAGCCTGTGCGCCACAACTACCGATCCTGTGCTCCAGAGCCTGTGAGCCCGGGTGCAAAAACTACTGAAGCCCGCGCGCCTAGAGCCGGTGCTCCCGCAACAAGAGAAGCCACCGCAATGAGAAGCCCGCGCACCGCAACAAAGAATAGCAGCCCCTGCTCCGCGACTAGAGAAAGCCCGCGCATATCGATGAAGACCCAACGCAGCCAAACATAAATAAATAATTTTAAAGGAAAAAAGAAAATCTAGTGTTTTTACACAAAGGGGACTTGAAGTGTGAGCAACACGGAATGAAGAGTGGGTCAATGACCTCGAACTCCTGGCAGAAACCGGGAATTTAGAAGAGGGGTGCTTGTGACGGGGCTGCCATTTTTAGTGCGGGTCCACCGTAGCGCTGTTTTGTGCTCCATGTAGCACTCGCAGCCCAGCCGCCAGAGCCGACCAGATCTGGGTGGGTCTGGGCAGAGCTCGTGGGGCGGGGCCGAATTCCGAGAAGGGGGGGCGCAGTCGGGGTGGAGTGGGCGCGGCAAAGCAGGGCGGAATGGGCGTGACATCGAGGAGCCCCGCCCCGTCCCGCTTAGACAATGCCCCGGAGCCGCCAGACCGTCGCGCCCCCGACCCACTGTAGTACTTGAGCGCGCCTACCCGGGGACCCCTCAAAGCCAAAGCTCCAATCCCCTAGGCTTGAAGACTACGACTCTCTTCTTCACCAACTCTGTCCTCAGGGGGTGGGGCCCCAGCCAAGAGCACAGAGCTGCAAGAGTGGGGGTGGCCGCAGGAGGTGAGTCTGGTGGGAGGTGCTCCTCGGACCGTGTGTGTGGGGGGAGTTTGGGGGTGCTGGGCCCGTGCCTGCGCCGGACAGTGCAGAGGGTCGACATTTGGGTGCGGAGCTGAGTCGGGGTGGACTTTGGGGAAGATGGATCGGGAGACTGGGGCACCCGGTCCTGGCGCCCGGAGCGGTGCCTGCTCCCCAGAACCACGCCCCCCCGTTTCCCCGCCCCTTGGATTTCGTTTTAGACCTCTCCCAGTCCTCCGGGACTCAGTCTGGTTTACACTGGGTCGCGCTAGGAACGGAGTGACCGGCCAGGGTAGAGAGGATGTTTAACTCCTTAGGCTCTAATTCCTCCCTCCTTGTCCCTCTCTCCCGTTCTCGTTCGGACACCCAGGACTTTCATCCCCCAGGTCCTGACTCTCTCCCCAGCTGTCTCCTCCTGTCCCATAACCCTTGTGGGCTCCTCGCCGCACTTCGGGTCCCTAAGGCAGCGAGCAGCAGAGGGTTAAGGGGGCGGGGCCGCTGCATTTTTTGGGAGTGAGCGCATCCTAGCGGCTGCCAAGAGGGGCGCCCGGCAGGGACCTCTCGAAGACCCCGAGCAGGGGCAACAGGTGTTTTGGAGACTAGCGATCCCGATCTCGTTCCTCGGACTTCCCCTAAAGCAGCAGACCCGCGAGGATGCGGGGTGGAGTGGGGTCGGCAGGAGAGGAAGGTCTGGAGGGGGTGGGGCGGAGTGGGAGGGGCGCCCGGAGATGGCAGGAGGAAGACCCGGGCGCTTTTAACCATCCCCCTATGCCCTTCTTTGCATGTCTCTCTCTGCCTACCCCCGTTCTGTTTCTTCTCCCAGACACGTGAAGTTAAAAAGAGACAACTGAGAAATCAGCGCAGCCGGAGGGGGCGTCTGTGTGGATGGGATGGGGACGCCAGGGGAGGGGCTGGGCCGCTGTTCCCATGCCCTGATCCGGGGGGTCCCGGAGAGCCTGGCGTCGGGGGAGGGTGCGGGGGCTGGCCTTCCGGCTCTGGACCTAGCCAAAGCTCAGAGGGAGCATGGGGTGCTGGGGGGTAAACTGAGGCAGCGATTGGGGCTGCAGCTATTAGAACTGCCTCCTGAAGAGTCGCTGCCGCTGGGACCGCTGCTTGGTGACACCGCTGTGATCCAAGGGGATACGGCCCTAATCACGCGGCCCTGGAGCCCCGCCCGCAGGCCGGAGGTGAGCGCCTGGGCACGGGTGGGGTAGGGGGACGGGAGGATCTGGACGTCTGGGGCTTAAGGGAAGAATGGGGGTGGGAAGGTCTCCGCTTCGCGCCCTCTTTTCCTGCCCTAAGGTCGATGGCGTCCGCAAAGCCCTCCAGGACCTGGGGCTCCGAATTGTGGAGATGGGGGACGAGAACGCGACGCTGGATGGCACTGATGTTCTCTTCACCGGTGAGGCTGGGATGCCTGCACCCTGGGGCTTGGCACAGGGAAGCAGACTTTGGGAGACTGGGCCATCTCGGGCCTTGTTTCCAACCCACTCCCGCCTCATACCTCGACGGCCTCCCTGGGCTCAGGCCGGGAGTTTTTCGTAGGCCTCTCCAGGTGGACTAATCACCGAGGAGCTGAGATCGTGGCGGACACGTTCCGGGTGAGGAGCGGGACCAGCCTTGGATGGGGGGAGCAGGGAGCGGATGGGGGTCTGAGGGACCTGGGCGGGGGCGCGGGGCGGGCCGCGCTGAGGAGGAAGAGGCTGAGAGCAGCCTGTGTTTGAGGGTATCCTCTCACCCTTCCCGCGTCCCTGAATACTTTCCCTTGTTCCCCTTAGGACTTTGCCGTCTCCACGGTGCCGGTCTCGAGCCCCTCCCACCTGCGTGGCCTCTGCGGCATGGGGGGACCCCGCACTGTGGTGGCAGGTAGCAGCGAGGCTGCCCAAAAAGCTGTCAGGGTGAGAAGGGGTTGGGGCTGGGGTGGGGCAGGTTGGGGCGCGGCCAACAAAAGTGGGCGTGGCTCCGGGCCTGGGAGGCGGGGAGTTGGGAGGCTCTGAGAATTAACTCCAACCCCTACCCTCACGGAGCTGTCCATCTATGTGAAAACACGTGTGAAAACAAGAAGTTATTATAAATGGGACAGACAGCTGCAACACGGAGGAACAGGGGCAATTAACACCGTTTTCCCGAGTTTCAAGAAACTCCCTAAAGGGCACCCAAGCTGTGTCTTGAAGGATGGACAGGACCGACCCGTGGGATCTGAAGTAGGGGAGAAGTGGGTAGCAGGTGGAAAGAACTGCGTGTGAGTCCGAGGTGGAAATTAGACAAGTTAATTAAAGCACTTAGTGCCTGACACATAGTAAGTGCTATGTGATTGCTGTCATCATTATTCCACAATAATGTAACTCTGTCCCCAGCCCTTAGCGGTGGTAGGGCAGCCGGACTCAGTTGTGGAGAGGCTCTGAGCCTTGCATGCTTCCTCTCTCCTCTCCCCCAGGCAATGGCAGTGTTGACGGATCACCCCTATGCCTCCCTGACCCTCCCAGATGATGCAGCGGCTGACTGTCTCTTTCTGCGTCCTGGGCTGCCTGGTATGCCCCCTTTCCTCCTGCACCGTGGAGGCGGGGACCTGCCCAACAGCCAGGAGGTGAGAGAAGGCAGGAGCTCCACCACCAACAACAACCAGAGAAATGGGGCTCAGGTCTCCCTAGTGGGAGGAAGAAGGGGTACCTTTTCTAGAAGCCAGGGTGGGGCCACTCTAGCTGGCTGAAATGGGGCCCTGGCTGTGGGCCTTGGGGTCTTACTCCCTTCTCCCCACACACTGTCCTCCCTGCAGGCACTGCAGAAGCTCTCTGACGTCACCCTGGTACCTGTGTCCTGCTCGGAACTGGAGAAGGCAGGCGCTGGGCTCAGCTCCCTCTGCCTGGTGCTCAGCACACGCCCCCACAGCTGAGAGCCTGGCCTTGGGGTCCTGGCTGACCAGGGGCAGGGTGGCATAGGAGTAGAAGGGGAAGGAAGGTTAGATAGAGGACAGTGAATAGGTAGTAGTGGGGAGATGGCCCCAAGGTAGGGGGAGGGCATAGAGTGAGAAAAAGGATGGAGGTCACTGGGTGAATCCTCTCCTCAAGAACTAATAAAACAGAACTGACCCTTTAGACCGGGCTGCGACTGGGCTGCGACTGGTGTCTTACTGGGGCAGGGGGTCAAGGGCAGGGCTGAAACCTGAGGTTGGGGTCAGTGCTGGGAAGGAGGCCTCCTTCATTCATCAAACCTCCTTCATTCATCAGGCCTCCTTCATTCATCATTCAGTGCTCACTGACTCATTGTCCAGCCCTGTCATAGCTGCTTGGGCACAAGACGGACAGGACAGAATTTCTATGATTGGGAGCATGTACAGGGCAGAGAAAAAATATGGGTGAATCACTCACTGAATTTATCTAAATGTCAGATGATTCAGAGACTGGGAGATCAACAGCCCATCCCTAGTTGATAGGAGGAAATGACATTTCCAGGGATATTCATTTTCACTCATTTACTGAGGCTTAGCGGTGATATAAAAAGGGTCAGTCTCCTGATATCAGGGGACTCACATGAAAATTTCTTATAAATTGAAATACAGGTTGTAATGGAACAATTCACAGGAGGCTGTTGCTATGAGAGAAATAAGGGGGCTCTGTAGGGCATCAGAGTGTATGCAGGGGTGGGCAAAGTGGGTCAGAAATAGCTTCCCAGCAAAGGCTACACTTGAACTGAGTCCTGAGGATAAATAAGAATTAGCCAGGCAGATAGTGGGGAGGAGGCAAAGGCTAATCCAGGAAGAAGGAATTGCACTGGGCAAAGGCGCATTTGGGGGCTGGGGAGAATTTCTCTAAGGCTGTCCTGTTCTAGGCACTGAGTGACAGAGATAAGCCTGGAGAGTAAGTAGAGTACTGTAGCACCTTGAACCCAAAGCTGAGGCCCATGGGTCCAGAGCTGAAATACTGCTGAAATATAGGCTGTCAGGAGCAGGTTAGCATTTGGGGAGAATACCTCTAGTTTCAGGGAGGAGAACAAGGGCAGGAGGATGAGGTGGGGCTATGGGTAATCCAGGGAGGAAATAAAGAGTACATTCAGGTGGCAGTGCTGGGTGTGAAAAGGGTGTGGATTTGACAGTGACATTAAAATAGAAAGACAGGACTTGGTTTATCTTGTGGGAGTGAGAGGAAGGAGGTCTACATGACTCTCCATTTCTGGCTTGGGCAATGGGGTTGATCAAGAGAGAATGCAGAGGAGGAAGGATTAGGTAAGTGGCTTGGGAGATGACAGTGAGTTGGCTTTTGGACCTGCTGTGTGCAGAATGCCTAGGGCCAGCCAGGCGGGGATGTCTGAGGGACAGTTTGGAAATCTCGTATCAGAGATCTGAACTGGAGAGAGTTATGGATGTTGCTTGCACAGAAAAAGGCTGAGGACTGGCTGTGGATGACAGCATCCCAGGAGAGGGAGAAGGCAGATAAAGAAAAAGACAAACCTGGAATGGTGGAGAATACTGCAGGGGTAGGGAGCAAGGATGAGGAGTCCAGAAGGAAGACAACAGCATTAAAGAAAAACAGCTTAAATAAGAGCGATCAAAGGCCAAGCCAGATGAATGCTAATAAATGTCTAGTGGGTGTGGTTATTAGGACATCACTGGCAATCTCATGGCGAGCACGTGAGCAGTGGGAGTGGAGTGAAGAGAAAAATGGAAGAGACAGGTGTAGGCCCTTGGTTCAAAGAGCTTGACTGTGGAGAGAAGGGAAGAGAGGGCAAAAATCTAGGAGCTGTTGATGTCTTAAGATAGGGAGACAGGGCTTGATCAGGTTTAAGGACATCAGTGGTGAAGGAGACCTGAAAGCTGTGTGAGAGATGGGGACCAAAATCAGCAGCAGAGATAGCCTGGATCCTCCGTCTCCTGACTCCCAGTCTAGTGCTCATTTCTATCCCATGGTGCCTTCCTTTTCCAGGTGAAGGGCCAAGAAGGGGAGGGGTGTTATGGAGAGCTGGGAGCCCTCAGCTTGTGAGGTAGTAAGGGCTTCCTTTCGAACTACAACCGCATAGGTGGTGGAGGCATCAGCAGGGACCACTGGGGACAGTCGGCAGGATCTTCTGAGGGCCGTATGATCCAGGTCTGCGTAGAGCAGGCTCTGAAAGGTGGGGAGGAAGGTAGGAGGGTCTCAGATGTCTGACGCCCTTGGGGATCCAAGCCTCTGTCTTTCTTGGTCCACTTTACTCACGGATTCTGGCCAGCCCCCATCCCACCCCCAAACCTTTACCGGCTCCTGGTCCAGGTCCCCTGCAATCTTGGGCTCTTCCTCCTCTACTGACCTCTGGGGCTCCGCTTTCACGAATGGAACTATGTGGGGGGGGACAGAGCTGAAGGATTGAGAGAAGGTGACCAACTTGTCTGCTCCCAGCAAGGGCTCAGACTCAGGAATTGGGTGGGGAATGTGCGGGGAAGGCAAATGGGGTGGAGTTAGTCTCACCAAATCTGGGGGGTGGTCGAGGCGGGTGAGGGGGCGAGCGCCTGTAAGGGATGGATAAGAGTCTCTAAGAACCATTAATCTTGTCTCGCTTGTTCTGGGCCCCAGGACGCGCCAACAACAACCCAGCAACAGGCCGGCTCTGACCAGCAAAACAACCTAGGTTCCCACCCGCACAGATAGTTCCGCCCACGCTTGGAGCCAGCTCGGCCTCTAGCTTGGCTTCCTTAGCTAGGGCTCCACCCACCAGCGCATGGCCTCGCCCGCAAGTTCCGACCTCCCCCATTCGTCTCCGAACCACACCCGAGGGCTCCCGATGTAGTTTTGGCCCGCGAAAGTTCTGGGGCTGCCCCTCCCGCCTCTGGTCGAGAGCCTTTCAACCAGGCCCCGCCCCTAGAGCTCACCTGCGCAGCCAACAGGCCCAGCCCAGTACTCCGAGTCCCAGCACCAGCCCAGCGCCCAGCAGCGGGATTAGAGTCTGGGGATACACGGACCCTGCGGGAACGTTGGAAGCGGGGTAGCGGTGGATGCCGAGGTCAGGGTGCGGGGACAGAGAGCTAGCTCCCCCACTCAGGAACCCCCAGACCAGGCTTCCTCCCTGACGGGGGCGTGTGTCTGAGTTAGGTCCCCTTTGTGTGAAGGCCTGGACCTACCGTGGGTAGGCCCCGGAGCTCTGCAATAGGCCCGGTCCCCCAGCACGTGAAGCTCCGTACGGCTCTCGTTCTCTTGGCGGCCCTTGCAGATAAAGGTGCCCGAGTCCCCCGCGCTCAGGAGTAGCTCCAGCCGCCGGATATCAAGGTCCAGGGCACGTAGGCGGCCAGCAAAGGGCTGGACGGGAGACACGGTGGGGGTCCCGTTCGGTGAGGCCAACAAGATCGCGCGGCGTCCTTTGGACAGGCCTTTGCAAGCCGGGAATCTAGGTGCCCAGACCCAGCGGGTGGGTTGCGAGACCCCTACGCAGGAGAGATTCACCCGGTCCCCGGGGTGACCGTCCAGTGAAGCTAGGGGAGGCGGGGGGGGGGGGTGGGGGGGGACGGTGGTCAAGGCAAGTCCACAGAGCAAGACGCCCCTCCCCCTTACGCCTTTTCCCTCTCCTCTACCCTCCCGCCAGCCTGGATCTTCCCATACACATCTCATCCCCCCCACTACCCGCACTGGGTCTCCTCCTCCTCCTGCCTCAGTCTTTCCTCGCCCATTCCGACTTTCCTGGGATGGCTTACCCCCGGGGTTCCCCTGGGCCCTCGACAGCAGCAGCGGCAGCAGCTGCAGAACCAAGGCCATGGCTGCGATGTGGTGGGAAGAGGAGGCCAGTGAATCAGCGAAGGAGACCGGAGGGAAATCAGAGGGGGGTGAAGGGGGAGACCGCAGGTCTGGGGGCGCCGATAAGGGGTGGGGGAGGGGCCACCAGCTGCCCACATCCCTCTGGGAATCCTTGCAGGCAGGTTCACAGCCCTCAACCAATGCTCACTTAGAATTCATGCTGGGGCCCTTTACACAAGCACTTTAGCAGACTTTAACTCTTTTTTTTTTTTTTTTTTTTGGCTGTGTTGGGTCTTTGTTTCTGTGCGAGGGCTTTCTCTAGTTGCACCGAGCGGGGGCCACTCTTCATCGCGGTGCGCGGGCCTCTCACTATCGCGGCCTCTCTTGTTGCGGAGCACAGGCTCCAGATGCGCAGGCTCAGCAGTTGTGGCTCACGGGCCTGAGCCACATGTGGGACCTTCCCAGACCAGAGCTCGAACCCGTGTCCCCTGCATTAGCAGGCAGATTCTCAACCACTGTGCCACCAGGGAAGTCCTACGAGAAGTCCCCAAGGGTTGGTTTGGGTTTTTTTTTTTGCGGTACGCGGGCCTCTCACTGTTGTGACCTCTCCCGTTGCGGAGCACAGGCTCCGGACGCACAGGCTCAGCGGCCATGGCTCATGGGCCCAGCTGCTCCGCGGCATGTGGGATCTTCCTGGACCGAGGCACGAACCCGTGTCCCTTGCATCGGCAGGCGGACTCTCAACCACTGCGCCGCCCGGGAAGCCCTTGACTTTAACTCTTGAAGCATAGCAGTTGCCGGGAACACCACAGTTTCTGGATCTTGGCTGTCTGAATTCAAATCTCGACTTCATCTTCTAGCTGCGTGATGTGCGCAAGTCGCTTAACCTTTCTGGGCCTGCTTGCTCATCTGTAAAATGGGAATAAAAGCACCTACCTCGCAGAGTATTGTGAGAACTAAATAAAGTCATACCCAGTAAATGCCTAGAACAATGGCAAAGACATAGGAGTACTATATGCTTGCCATTATTACTATTTCTATTCTTATTTTAGCTGCTACCTCACCCCTCTGTGCCCACTTCGTCCCTCCCGGCCCAAGGTGGCCCGCCCAAATTGGCAGGTTTTGATTGGGGAGGTGCTTTGGAGCAGGTGCACAGCCCCACACCCAGGACTTCATCAGCCCTCACTGCACTGGAGCACCCAAGGCCAGGCCAAGCCCAGGTGGAGCCAGGATGAGGTCCTGAGAACCTTCAGGGGGCCTGAGGCAGCCCCTCCCTAACAGGCAGCTCCAGCCCATGCCTCTGCTGCTTTGACATCACAGAAGCTCTTGGTCACATCACAAATCGTACTCCTCCATCCTGTGGCTGAGGAGGGGTTGGGAAAACTAAGTGGACTGAGATTAATTTGGTGCTCAATTTCTGCCCACATACCCCTACCAATGCCCCCCAGGGAGCAAAATTTTGCAGTCAGCTTGGGCCACACCCCATTGTCCTTTTCCCAGGAACCAGCAGACACTGCCACCACCACAGCCACTGTAACATCACAGGGGCCTTTGGTGATACTTCTTCAGAGGACTGGGCAGACAGGGATGTTACTCCTGGGGGCCAGGAGGGTGTGTCTTGGACTGAAACCAAGAACCGAAATGGAGTTGGCCACTAGTGCACCTACCTACCCTCCCCACCTCTCTCTGCCATCCCCATCCCTACTGCCCCACTGGGTCCTGCTTAGCCCGTCCCTAAATGGGGAAGGAGGGGCCCCCAGAGGCCAGGTAGGGCGGGACTGTTGTGGCTATAAATTCCAAAAGGGCCACTCAACTCCCAGAGCAGGATCCCTGGAATTCTACTCTGTCAGCTGCTGCTGTTGCTACCGTTCTCAGGACCCTCACCATGAAAGGCCTTCTGCTGATCACCTTGTCTTCTCTGCTCTGCTGGGTCTCAGGTGAGCACCTGGGGGCCCCGAGGACCTGGTTCACCTGGTTAGGACTTTTACACCCTGCCCCAGGCACTGCCCTACACTACCCGCTACTCAAGATCCCAAGCGCCCCCACACCCAACTGGCTCAGCTCTCCTGTGCCCCGCTGTGACAGGGTCCTTGCTCTGTTTCTCAAGGACCCGTGTCTCCATCTTCCGACTCTTCCCCACCTCCAAGACGCACTCTTCTAACCTGCCCAGGGTTCCAGGTCCCCTGTTCCCCACTCCTTGGAAACCCTGATATCCAGTTCCCCTGCCAGCCCCACTCTGATACAGAACTCTCCAGGATCCAGCTTACCTGCTTTCTCCTCTCACCACCTGCACTCAGCCAGGGCGTCCTCCCAGAAATCTAGGCAACCAGTCTGGGGCTTCTTTTGCGACCCCTCCTCCCATCTACTCCATCAGGGACTTTGTGCTCAGTCCCTCGAGCAGTGGCCTTTCCTAGATCGCCCCCCTGCTCCTCCCTGAGGTGCATACCTCCAGGAACACAAGCTTTCTGGAGGGCTCCAGTGACCTCTCAGAACCTCCCAGGGAACCAGGGAGATTTCCCGGCCTTCTAGGGAGGGAATGCCAAGGTTGCTCACCCCCAGGGTGAGGTGGGTTTCACTGAGGTGCAGTCACCAGGCTCCTCCACCCACTGACTGAACCCTTCTGTCCCTCAAACCTTGAATCGGATGCGGCAGAAACGTTCGGGGTGCCAGCTTCTGCCTTTCTGCACCCATCCTCTCCATTTTGGCAAAGTGCTCGGATGGATTCTGATGATCTGTCTCCCAGATACTTCTCCTTTCTGTCAGAGAGCTACTGGGGTGGGAGGATTCAGTTCAAGTCTGGTTCCTCTTCCCATGCTCTTGGCGGCCCCAGGAGGTGAAGAATACATTGCTAATCTGGCCCCAGGTGGCTTTCTTGCCAGCCTCAAGTTCCAAGCCATTTCTGCAAGTGTTGTAACCACCATGATTTTTACTTTTAAGGTTTCTTCCTATTTCAAGACTCCATCTGTGACCTCTTCTGAATTCCTTCATCTCCTCCCTCGCCACCTCCATTCCTTCCCTGTGGTATTCTCACATTTCATCTGTCCCCAGCCCCATTGTTGGTAACTCTGCATCTCTAGACTCATCTCCAGATGGGGTGGAGTGAAGGAAGATATTTAGGGTGTGGGCCATTCACAGAGCAACTCCACCCTCACCCAACTTGCATTTTTTCTGCATCACTCACCCTCTCTGTCCCTACCAGAACAAACAGGTCAGAATACCTACTTGATTGGCTCTTCTCCACCGTGCCCACCAGCTGGGCTCATCCCCAGGTGAGTCAGACATTCCGTCACTTCAGCCCGACTTGTGTCTTCCCAGCTGACATTCGCTGTCACTCCTGCTACAAGGTCCCTTTGCTGGGCTGTGTGGACCGGCAGTCCTGCCACCTGGAACCAGGACAGCAATGCCTGACAACAAATGTGTACCTCGGTAACATTCCTTTCTTCAGTGGGGAGAGGGGCCCAGTGGGAGACTCTATGGCTGGGGCTGAGGTGGAACAGAGAATTACAGCAATGATAATATTTGGCCAAGGATTATTACGTGCCAGGCACCATCCTACGTCTTTACAAGGATTGTTTCAATTAATGCTCATGACAGCCCTATGAAGTGTGGGTGCTATTATTATACTGAGAAAACAGCCTCAAAAAGAGACAGTAACAGGTCCAAAGCCTCATGGGCAGCAAGTGATAGGACCAGGATTGGGGTGAGGGGCAGGGTAAGGAAGTTAGACTGAGAAGAGATCCAGAAGGGGAAGGCCAAGGGCAGAGTTGGGAAGGAAGGAAGCCTGGGTGGGGTGCACGGGTGGGGAGGTGGACACAGGCATGCCAGGTGCCCATCTTAACTGTCCCCACTGCCCCCTCCTAACCCCAGGGAAGATGTGGGTTTTCTCCAACCTACGCTGTGGCACACCAGAAGAGCCCTGTCGGGAGGCCTTCAACCAAACCAACCACAAGCTAGGCCTGACCTATAACACCACCTGCTGCAACAAGGACAACTGCAATAACCCAGCCCCTCGGCCCACCCCGGCCCTGGCCCTTGTCCTCCTTACCTCCTTGGCTGGCCTTAGCCTCTGGCTGTTGCACTGAGACTCGCTCCATGGCTGCCCCTCCTCCCACCTGCCTTAGCCTCTCTTCTTGTGTCTTCGTATCCTCTGCTTCCTTTTGCTCAGAAAAGCATTTCTCCAGACCCTTCACATTTCTTTAATTAGACGGTGGTCCCCCGATCCATCCTTCCATCCCACACCCTCCACTCTGCTTCTCTGGAGTCTCTTTCCATTTCCCTTGACACCACTCCAGATCCTCCATCGTCTCCTAGAAGGGCTCCGCACTTTGCCTCCTGAACTCCCCTGTGCCCTATGTGAGGAGGGATTGGAATCTGGGCCTGAAATGGGGTTTCTGTCCTGTCCCCAGTGAAGGCTCCCAGGAAGGACCTGATGACCTCACTGTATGAGCTGATTCTCCAAACCCTGGCTCCCATACGTACCTCATCCCCTTGCTCACCCCTTTCCATTTTGAGTAATAAATGTCTGTATATGATCAATTGTGTATCAGAAGATCTATTGTCAGAGGCGCCCTCCCAGGAAATAACACTCTCAGCCCTCACACTCACCACTCACCCAAGAACCCTTCAGGGAGTTTCTCTCAGACGCTGGGCTGGGGCAGACGGAAAAACAGGTTTTGCAGGCTTCCATCCTCTCTTCCAGTGTCTGGGGGGTGGCGTACAGGGCCCAGTGTTTGGAGAAGCAATATTTACCTTAAATTTAGGCCACACCTCTGACGCACTGCCAAGAAAGAGGTGCAGTGTGGCTTGAGGGCTCCTCAGAAAGGGTAGGAGAGTTGCATGGGGATGGGACCTGGGACCCTCTTCCAGGCCTCAGTCCCTCAGGTTAGATCCAGAGGCCTCACCTGGCCCAGTATGTGGGGCACCAAGCCACCCTCCTATCACAGTGCTTACATTTCCTTTCTCAATTCCAAGTAGTCATATTGGGAGCCAAGTTGCAAATGCGGGGAAGGGGAACAAGCCCAGACAACAAGGCTCATTGATTCCTGGTGGCCCCCACTCAGCCCAGAGCCTGCTCCCCTCAGTGATCCTCGTTGCTAAGGAAGATTCTCCCTAGCAACAGGGTGCAGGAGTCACATAGGGCAGATTCTCCATTGTCCTTTGGGGTTTAGTTGGTTAAGCAGTGCACCATTGCAACTAAGTCCACTGATCCTTGATAACCCCTACACTAGAGCCTGGTTGCCCCACATTACTCCATCAGCCCTCCCATCAACAAAAGATGGAATTTTCCAGTCAGCTCTAGAGTGGTCGGTAGATTTTAATGGCTCACAGAGGAGTGTTTATCTTCTCACCTCAGATCCCCTTTGTTCCCTTGCTCCCTTGCTCCCTTGTCTTCCCCTACTCCCACTACCCTCTCCACAGTCCTGGCAAGAGCCAGGCTAGGGCGGTGACCCCTGCAGCCACGATGCACGCGGGGGCTGCAGTGCTCGCCACAGCACTGTTGCACAGGTCGCAGACGCAGCAGTCGCTGTGGGTCATATAAGTCACGTCTCCCACCACCTCTGTTTCCACTCGACTGCAATGATGGGCCGCCACGCAGGCTGCATGGTGATGAATCAAGGTCACTGAGGCTGAGAGAGAGAAGGAGATTGGGCTGTTGGACTCCTGGCTTGAGGACTTGCCTTCTGGGGCAGAGCAGATGTGATTCCAAGGAGCCCAAAGGGATCCTCTGCCCCCTCAAAAAACACCTCCCTGTCGGGCTTCCCTGGTGGCGCAGTGGTTGAGAGTCTGCCTGCCGATGCAGGGGACACGGGTTCGTGCCCCGGTCCGGGAAGATCCCACATGCCGCAGAGCAGCTGGGCCCGTGAGCCACGGCCGCTGAGCCTGCACGTCCGGAGCCTGTGCTCCGCAACAGGAAAGACCACGGCAGTGAGAGGCCCATGTACCGCAAAAAAAAAAAAAAAAAAACACCTCCCTGAAACCAAGTGAATCCCTGATGGGATGCACTGAAAGGGACCAACATCACTTCTTGCCAAAAGCTCACGACCTCAGTCTAATCATGAGAAAATATCAGGTAATCCAAATTGCGGGACGTTCTATAAAATAACTCATCAGGACTCTTCAAAAATGTCAAGATCATGGAATCAAAGGAAGACTCAGAACTGTCCCAGAGTGGGGACAACTAAGAAGACAGGAGAGCTAAAGGCAATGTAGGATCCTGGTGTGGGTCCTGGATCAGAGAAAGGACATCGGTGGGACGACTGGCTAAATTGAGTAAGGTCTGTAGGTTAGTTAGTTGTACTGTACCGGTGTTATTTTCTGATTTTGCTAATTGTACTATGGTTATATAAGACATTAACATTAGAGGAAACTGGGTGAGGCTATACAGTACTGATCTGTACTATTTTTCTAATAAAATTAACTTTTCTGTCAACCTAAAATTATTTAGAAACAAAAAAAATTAGAATACACACACACACATACCTCCCTGGTCCTTAGCTGATGCCTGCAAGTTGAAGTTTGGCTGAATGTTTTGGTCCCTGCCTTCAAGGGAGCTTTTCACCCATTTGTGAGTGAATGGGCCTCTGAGAGTCTTTCTGGAGGGTAAAGAGGAGGGGGTGGGGCCACACAGACAGCGGGCTTCCAGGGGCTCAGTGCCAGGAGCCAGAAGGGGCTACAGACCGCTCCACTCTGACAGCGGCACCATCTGCCCAGAGCCAGACTGAGCCTGGAAGGTTCTGGAAGCCAGAAGGACTGAAGTAGTAGGGGCTGGAGGCAGGGGGACAAACGGAGGACTCACGGTTTCCAGATGGCTTGGTCTGTCTCAGGTCTGGTTGGGGTTTGCCCTCCAGGAAGCCGCAGCCTTTGCCCTGGCCGCAAGTGGTCACGGTCTCTTTGCAGGAGCCGCTGGGGCCTCCACCGCAGTCATAGCACCGCTTGCGGTTTCCTGGCAGGAGAGAAGAGGTGCTGGAACTGGGCGGGGGTGGGGGGCGGCTGGCACAGGGCGATGGGCCTTTGTGACAGGCGCCTTGGCTGCCTCCTTACCCAAGGCAGCCCACAGCAGGGCGCTGCGCGGGATCCCAGCAAACAGGGGGTTCATTGTGTCTGCCTGTGTCTGTAGCGCCTCTCCCTCCCGCCCACCCGCCTCCCTGGCCCCGCTCTGCCAGCCTTTTATCCCCCTTGCCTTGGGCTTTTTAAAAAAAAAATTTATTTATTTATATTTGGCTGCATTGGGTCTTCGTTGCTGCGCGTGGGCTTTCTCCAGTTGTGCTTGCCTTGGCTTTATAGGGCAATAAAAAGGGAGGAAAGAGACTCCTCCAGCAGCCACCGGGGCCCCAGTGGGGACAGGGAGGGGCCCCCACAGGAGAAAGAGCTCTCAGCATCCTCTGGCATCCCCAAACTCTTCCATCTCAGGAACAATTCTAAAACGGTGGCCCCAGACCTCCTGCGGGTCCCTAAGGCCCTTTTAGAGGGTCCTCCACCGTCTTCCTCTTCCAACTACATATCTGTCAGATTTTCTTCAGATACTTCAATCAAAACAACAAATCCCAACAGGCTGAATGCAGAAGCAGATGTGAAAACCCAGCCATCTTCTAGTTCTTCTATTAAGCCCAACCTTAAATGGATTCCCCAAAGGGTAAAGCCGTGCCACTCTTCCCACTGTACTGTTGGGAAAGGGATTATTTTTCGCAAAACTATGCTTTGTTAACACGTAATGGGTTTATTGTTTTTTTATTTTTAAATGAACCTATTAAAATATTCTGTTTCTATTTCTCATATAGCAAATATTGATATAACTTACATAAGAAAAGCTCTTTGGGGTGTTCAGTAATTCTTGCGTGTAAAGAGGTCCTGAGATAAATATTTTGAAAACTGCTGCTCAGTGGATACCTGTCTCTCCTCTGCCTCACCTCCACCTCACATCTCCCCCACCCTGTCTGCCTCTTACTCCCAGTACATTCTGCCCTGATTCCCCAGGTGCAGCTCTTCTCCCCAATCTCTTAAGCCCCCGTCTTCTAGACTCTACCACCCGTATTGCCCAAATCTTATCGTTGCCTTCCTTCCTGGTCTTTCTGACCCTCATCCCTGCACCAGTGGAAACACATCAGTCCCTCTGGCCGCACCCATGATTCTTTCCTCTAATGCAGTAAGGCTGGGAGAGATAATTACGGGGTAAGAATGTTGAGGCTTGGGGGGATCAAAGGAATGGGAAGCTGGGCGGCGTCCTCCCTTATGCAGCTGCAGCTGGGCTCTGTGTGTGGGCCGGTGGGTGGGGGATTGTTGAGCCCACACTCAAACACCGCTCGCCAACTCTGGGCCGGGGCTCAAGGTCAAGGAGAGTGACCTTGACAGACTTAAATGCACAGAAGGACAAAAGACAGAGAAACAAAAACAAGGAGATGAGAGAGCAAAGAACAGCTTGAGACAAGGGGAGGGAGGGAAAGGAGTAGGAGGGGAAGTGACAGACGCTGACAGACATCGGTTCAGGAGCGACAGACGCAGCTAAGAGTAACAGACCAACGCTGCAGGAATGGAGAACACCCTTAAGGCAAGAGCAGGCTCTAGTAGGAGACAGGGAGGATGTGAGAATTGTGAGAACAGGGTCCCTGCTATGTCAGTCTGCCAAATCTGGTCCCCCACCCTCAGATTCACTCCCTAGGTGTGTTTGTTTACTGCTCCCTCCCTGTCTCACTCAGATGCTCCATCTCTCCAACTCTAGGATCTCTGGGTGCAGATCAGATTCTCCCAGACTCCTGAGCCCCGGGTCCAGCCATGGGCACCTCCAGCATCTTCCTCTGCATTCTGTTTCTCGGTGGGGCACTGGATAAGGGTGGGCTGGGGAATCCTTGGGGGCTGGGTGCAGGGTGGGGCGGTGGTGCTGGCAGGGGCTTGTGGAGGAGCCTGAGGTCTGGGGGGGGGGGGTGGCGGAGAGGGTGTTGAGAAATGCCAAGGAGGTAGTTGTAGGGGTTTTGGAAAGAAAAGCTACTGGGAATGGTCTCAGGACAGCCTGATGAGGTGGAACAAGAAAAATTTCCTTTCAAAGGCATTTGAGAATAACTGTCTCTTTCCTGTGGCATCTTTGACAAGCCTCTGTCTCCCCTGACCCTTATCTCACCTCCTGTTTCTTTGCTGGGCCCCTTGGTCAATGTTAATTCCTATTTTCTCATCTGACTTAGCACCATCTGCTTAACTTCTTCACTGGCAACCCCTCCCCGTCCCGGCCTGGTTTTTTGTGTCATTCTCTGTGCTCATCTCTGATTCTCTTGGCTTCTGTTCATGTCTGTGTGTCTCTCACACTCCCTGTATCCCTCGTGCCTCTGCGTCGTTTCCTTTTCCTGTATTATCCCCCCTCCCTTCTCTGTGTCTCTTTTTCTATTTCTGTCTATTTTTCCCTCCACTTCACTGCTCCTCTCTCCCCACTTTGTGTATCACCTCTGTCTGTGCATCCCATTCTCAAATCTGGGCTCAGCCTCTCACCTGTCCTGTTTGCCTTTCCTCCCTGCCTGATCTCCACCGACCCCACAGGTCTCGCCACTTCCCCTGCCCGGAGACGGCTCCACTGTTACACCTGCAACTTCGCCAAACCCTGCTACCCTGTTCCTACCGAGCGTCAGGATGATGAAGTTTGTGGCATCAGTATTGGTACCTCAGGGAGGACTCCCTAGGCCTTCCCCACCGCCATCCGTCCTGCCTTTCCTGTGGCCTCCTGGCCCTTGCCTCCTTCCTGCCCTGCCTCAGCATCCCCTCTTTGTCCCATAGAACAGTGAGGTCATCGAGCGGAAAGCCTGCCTCCCAAGGACCCAGCGCTCTCTGCAGGGCCATGCCACCTACCGGTCACTCTCCTACACTCCTCGGCACCACTGCTGCGAGCAGGACCTGTGCGATGCAGCCACCATGCCGCATCGGCTCCCCAGGCTCCTCCTTATCACCCCGCTCATCCTCGTGGCCAGCCTCACCTGGGGAGCCCACCTCCTCCACCAGCCTGCAGCCCAAGGCTCTTCCACTATCGCCATGGCCCTGGAAACACATTCACAGACACTTCTGAGATCTGCCCAAGAACCTGATCTTGTACAGAGACCTCACACCCCTTGGGCCCAGCACCTTCACGGACCCCTCCCCAAACCCGATTCCTACAGGCACTGCTCTAGCCTCTTCCTGCCCAGAGGCACCTACCCGGAGCCCAGCCTCATAAGGAACACCTGTTCTAAATCTCTGGTCTTTTCTAAATGTCTGTGGCTGATGCATTCTCTCAGCCCCAGCTCTCTGGCAAGGCAGGCGTTTGACAGAGCTGTGGGTCCCAGGCAAGGGGATCGAAGGGGCACCAGGTGTGATGAGGATGAGGGTCCTGCTAGGAGAGATTAATTTCGTAGGTCAGGAAGGAGAGCTTGGGGAACTATGAAGAGTAAATATAATAAAAGTGCTATCTGGGGAGCAGTGGTTGAGAGTCCGCCTGCTGGACTCTGGTTCCCTGGTGGCGCAGTGGTTGAGAGTCCGCCTGCTGGACTCTGGTTCCCTGGTGAGGCAGTGGTTGAGAGTCCGCCTGCCGATGCAGGGGACACGGGTTCGTGCCCCGGTCTGGGAAGATCCCACGTGCCGCGGAGCGGCTGGGCCCGTGAGCCATGGCCGCTGAGCCTGCGCGTCCCGAGCCTGTGCTCCGCAACAGGAGAGGCCACAACAGTGAGAGGCCCGCGTACCGAAAAAAAAAAAAAAAGTACTATCTGGGAGTTCAGTAACACTGCTCCATGTCTGTGTGTGTGTGTGTGTGTGTGTGTGTGTGCATGCGCACACACATGTGCTCTAACAGCAAACTATAGCTGCTTGGTGGGTTGGGCTGGGGTGCTGGCACGTGAACCACAACTTTCACATCACCCTCCATCTGTCATTGATATCCTCCTTCTTGCCGTTAACTTAGCTTAAGCCACTGCAGCATGAAGGCTTTAGGTAAAACTTCTGAGAAAGCTTTTCTCCAGTGAAGCCTAAGCTTGAGTAGACACACAGAGGGGCCCCTCGTGGAGTGGTGAGGGTGTGGCCGGGAGACCAGCTCATTTCTGTGTGAGGCTAGGAGCTGGGAGCACCAGTGCCCTCCCCCGCTTCACCAGCCCAGACTTGTCCTGGTTCACTGACAGCCAAGCACGCAGGGCCCAATTACTCACCCCACCAGGGAATTCGCCCACCCAGCACGGTGGACACTCCTGCCCAGGGGCCCCCAGGATGTCAGGGTGGTAAGCTGCTCCCTGCTCCGGATGCCACAGTGGAGCGCCTAGGATAAGGGGGGGCACAGGTACCCCCATCCTGACTCAGTTCCCTCCACTTCCATCTGAGGAAGTCTGGGGTCTGATTAGAGGTGCTTCTCTCTCAATTTCTTTTCTTTGCGAGGATGAGACAGGGGTGGGGATCTGGCTTAATTTAGAGGCAAGTTGAGTCTTCTTTCCATTCTCTCTGTCCCTCAGTCCTCCCACTTTGTACTTCTATTTGTTCTCTCTCTCTCTCCATCTCTTTCCCTTTACCCTGACTTGGGCCTCTTCCCTTCTCTCTTCTTCAGTTTCCCCCATTTGTCCTTTGGTTCCCCCATAACTGATTCTCCACCACTGCTCAAGTCTCTGGATTCCTCTGTCTCTTTTCTTCATCCCCACTCCTCCTCAACCCCTTCCAGCTACCCCAAGCTCCCCTCAACCCCATGGTACTGCAGGCTCAGGGCCACCCCTCCACTGGCTTCTGTGAGACAGGAAACCACACTTTTCATAGGTGACATCACAGAATAATGCTTCTCCTTTCCTTCAGCCCCCAGCCCCTTCACACACACACACACACACACACACACACAGAAAGCTTGGCTGCTGGAGACCAGCTGGACTGTGAAGTAGCACTCCCAGCCCCTGCCCCCTTGCCAAGGTTTTCGGGAATCTTTCAGGTGCCAGATGGCCAGGGAGACAGCAGGTCACACTTCCCAGCAGTTGTCGTTGAGATCACCTGGTCTTAGGGGCAGGTGGCCTGTGGGTTTTGCAAAGTGGAAAGACATTAAGGATACTTCTATTCTCCACGTCCTCAGGAACCAGCATCCCATCCCCACCCCAACCTCAGTCTCCTCTGGGATTTAAGCCTCTGCCCCCTAGTTGTTCCTCACCTGAGATGGGCCAAATGGATGTTCTCATAGACCTGGATCTCGGGTTTGAACTGAGGAAACGAGGCATCTGGGGAGAAAGAGCCATATGAGGTGTGGCAGAGAAGTCACAGATAACTCAGAGCTATATTCCTTACCCCCCTCCTCCCCTAGAGAAGACAGGGTATAGAGGCAAGATATGAGCCACCCCTCTGGGAAGGAGGGACTCACTTCTGTGCTTAGTCCCCTGGACCCTCCGCCTCCAGAGCATGACGCTGAGGACCACGATGGTGAACCCCTGGCCCACTGTGAGCAGCAGCATCAGGATCCAGGGTGCACCCCACTCTGTGGAAGGGGCACAGAGGGCCGGGGAGGCATCCATGGAGGCTGCGGTAAGGGCAAGACGAGAGGGATGAGGAGGGAGGCAGGGAGGGGGGTCTGTCCCTCGTGCCCTAAAGAAAGGCTTTCCCCCATAGTCTGCTGGGCTCTTCCAAAAGAAGGCTTCCTTGCCCCCAATATCCACCGCCCCATTTTGCCTGTTTCCAGGCCTCTCACCCTGATCCCATAAACCAACATTGATAGAGAGTGGTGATGCCCCCCTGGCTACACATGGATGGCTAACTCCAGGGTGGACCACCAGCCATAACTGGGATTTTTTCCTCAAGCCCTTCACAGTAATCCACCCTTTTAAGAAAAAAAGAAAATGCCTTGTGTTTATTCATTCTTCCATTCATCCACTCCACAGGTATTTGCTGAGTGCCCACCACATGCCAGACCCCAGACTAGGTGTGAGGATGTAGAGGGAAATAGAACCCAGTCACTGCCTGTTAGTTGGCCTCTGCTTACGAAAATAATGGTCATTTGCTCCTCCCTCCTGCCTTGTAAATGGGTTGTTCTACATCCAATAGCATTCCTTCTCTGTATAATGGACTTTTTATTGTAAAACAATTATATATTTTTTCTCCTTCTGCCTCCACCATCAATGGGCCATTATAACATCAGTGCATATATCCTTTCTTCAAAAGACAACCGCCCCAGCAATAATTCTTACCTTCTTCCTCACTGCTAAGGGATATTCCACAAAGGTCATAGATTATCCTATTTCTAAACAAAGGTATATTCCACCAGAATTCCTCTTCTCCCTCTTGACTGATGGTCTATTCCATCAGAAAGCTGGCTTAACCAGCCCCCTTCTCTGTTACAGATTCAGTCAGTGAGAAAAAAGCCCTCCTCCTCCAGGCAGCGGAGGATAAAAACAGCCAATAACAGATTCGCCCCCTCCCCTAGCTAGCAGTGCGGGATGTGTCGGAGGCAACATCCCTTCCCTTAGTGTCCATCAGTTTACCTGCCAGGCTAAAGCTGACCCCTTTGTTCTGAGGCATGAGGCAGCGGATGTTTCTTGGTCTACGTCCCCTGGGCTCAGGAAGCCCCTCCCCGGGACACACCAAGAGCAGGGCAGCTCCATCACCCCAGAAGGACTGCACACGCCCCCTCACAGGACCCTTCCCCTCCAGCCAGGTCACAGAGTCCAGGCGTCTGGTGGGGACCACAGAGCACAGGAGGATAGAGCAGGGGGATCCATCTGCAGCCCTCGCAGAGAACTGGGATCCTGGAGGGAGAGAGGGACTCCTCAGTTCTTTGTCTGGGCTTCCCTGCTTCCCAGTGGCCCCTGGTCTGCATGCTCCCCACTCACCTCTGAGCACGGAGACATCATACACCCTCCAGTTCTGGTACTTGTGGCGGTGACCCAGCACGGCGCACCAGTACCGCCCAGCGTCTCCCTCCTTGGACCCTTCCAGCCACAGAGAGTTGTTTCCCAGGAGTTTGAGCCTGGATTCCCTTCCAGTCTTCCCAGGGTCTGGGGCTGGCCTGGCTACTTGGACGTGGGCCACTAAAGCAGTGGAGGAGCCTGTTGCAGGACTGCGGAACCAGGACAGGAATTCGTCTCCATGCAGGGTGGGTGGTGAAGGACATGGCAGCTCCATTGTCTCCCCCAATGCCACATAGATGGCCTGGATGTTGTCTGTGGGGAGGGGGCTGTGTGAGACCAGAGACCTCCATCAGGTCAACAACCCCACCCGTCAACCTCCTACCCCTGGCTTCTTCTCCTTCTGGGGTCCCCCAGCACTGGGCCTGACTGTGAGCACTTTTCTCGAGTGACAGCAACAAAAAAGTAAGGTGGAGAGAAGAGGGCGGTGCTTTCCCCACCTCTCCTGGCAAGTGAGGGAATCTGAGGGCAAGAGGGAAAAGGCTGGAATCGTTGACAAATGCCCATCCCCCTCCCTTTTGTTTCTCCTCTTCTGGATGAGCATTTACTTGTCCGTTCTTATTTTCTAAAGGAAACTGTACCTGACCTGGACCCTCGCTGACTCTGGATCTTTCCCAGTATTAGAGGCAGGGGGAGGTCAACTGGGGTAAATCTATCTTCTTGAGACAGATGCCTTCCCCAGGCCGCTAAGGAGAAACAGCAGCAGTCCCTCCCAACCCTGTGAATAGGTGAAGGACCCCTCAACTCCTGCTCCTTACCTGCAGCGGCCTGGGGGAGCCCATGTAGGCACAGAAGGAGGAGGAATAAGTCAGCCATGGGGAGAGCTTACCAAGTTCTCTTGCCTGGGACCTGCTATCCCCAGGGAGGAAACAGAGCCCAGATAAAGGCCCATACTCCCTAGTCTGGAGTGACATGGGCCTTTGAAGGGGATGGGAATGCTGGGGAGATAAAGCCCAGCTGCATGTCTAATGGGGGAAAAAGTGACAACCACCTTTCTGTGCCAAGAGGGAGAAGACCAAGTTCAGGCCACTCCAAAGATGACCTCTTCACCCTTCAGACTCCACACCAGCTGAAGGACTCAGAACAAAGACTCTATGCGCTAAGAAGAAGCCTGTGCAGAAGGGGTCACAGCTGTCCACCTCCCATCAGTCTGGAAGTACATTCCGTGTTCTCTCCTCCAGCCCAAGAGACACCAGCCATGAGGGAAGAAGCTGAGTCTTCATATTGGTTTCCAGGGAACCCAGCGCAAGACTGCACATCCAGTCAGTACTCCCTAAAGGACTTAGAATGACTTTCTCTGTGGCTGCCTGGCACATCACAGACTTCTTCTGAGCCCCTGATGAGTATATTAAGTTATTACTCAAGGAGAAGGATAGCAGGGGCCTGGAGAATTCACTGATTCATCCCTTTGCCTCAGGAAGGACTCTCTTAAGGCAGCTCTTCATATTGCTCTAATAGTTTTGA